ATATCCTACAATGTGACAAAAACTGTATTATATATATATTTTATTGTTCGCAAGCATGCGTTCTTTTTGAACTTTTACGCAAAGATGAGTAATATAATATTGTCAAAAGAACTAATTAGCCATACAACGAATCAAATTATCAAATTATATCAATTTTTTGATACAATTTTTTGTAGGAAGCTATAAAAGCATCAATATCCTATGTGCAGCGATGACACTTTATGCAGCAAAGTATGATGGGAGTTGTGTTTCTAACAATTATTTGTCCGCTAAACAGTCGTCTCAAGCCGTTCTGGCTTTTTCTCTGCAAAAATAGAAATACCTGTTCCGTTTCTACAAGAAAAATAAATAAAAACGGCTTTTAGGGAGATTTTCTAGGAGAGAACCACAACTCCCATCATGCTTTAGTGTACAAAATGGCGTCGCTGCTTATTTCCTGTTGTTACTATATATATACTATTGTTTCTATGGAAATGCAGTCAACAAAGATCATGTCACTTGTGGCGCGGGCGCTGCAAGGTGCACTGAAACATTTGGATCAAGTCCCATCGATATTTATTTCTAAAAATTTTGTAAATATGGTTTTAAAGGGTTGTACATGTTTTTTTAAATAAAAATGAATTATGTTATGTTTGGTTAGTTCCAAGTTGTCTTTGGATTAAAAACAAGGTCTTATACCGTGTTATTTAGTGATTTATAGTGGTATTTCATGCTACCTCTTGTTGATTTCGTTTCTATGTCCTCTAAATATCTACGTTTTGAATGTTGAACTAAGTTATCATTTTTCTGTTAATAAYTAAGATACCTAAATGCAAGACATTCTCACGTCTTGTCGTCGAACAGTCTAATGCTATCACAACCGCGCGTATTCAAAAGGCAGTTTCGTCGCTTTCAAAAGCTTCATTGACTTTAACAGCTCCATTTGCTTTCACTTCTTCATATTCATCTTGATTTCTTGTATTTTCATCAAGAGATTCATAATGTGGACTTGTTKCYGTCTKTTCATCCATCGCTTCATAGTAAGCACTCTTCCCGTCATCCTTTGGGGGACTATGAATTTGGCAGGTATCAKCGTCCTTTGCGGTCGTATCTGATTGAGATCTACCATGATCCTCTTCRGGTTTATCCAGAGAMGTCCCATCATCCTTTCCGGTCTCATTTGACTGAGATATACCATGATCCTCGACGGCTTGATTCGAAGAGGTTCCATCATCCTTAGCGGTTTTTTCTGATGGAGATTTACCATCATTCCCTGCGATCTTATCTGGTTGAGCATCATCATGCTTTGTGATCCTATCTGGCTGTAAGCTCTCATAAGCATGATTTGTTTCATTTGTTGAGCCACCATTGGCTTGTATTTCAGCCCCRRGATTGGMTCTACCGTGTACTGGTACGAGAGCAGGATCTTTGTTGTTCTTGGTATATTCGACMGCGTTGATGGCTCGCTTCTTCCGTTGGTTCTAGATAAYAATAAACCAACAATTCAACACATCTCACAAGTGTATGCTGTTCTGGATGGCTCACTATGGCTTAAAGCGTTATTTCTCGTTTAATAAGAGTAGCTTTCATACGAGTAATATAATTTGCCTACTATGTAAATTCTGACTTCCTTTTTTTTCGTTAAATATTTCATTACTGATAAYTGATTTCATAATTTTAGTCTTGATGGTTTTTGTACCATTTTAGTAGAWTGACTAACAAATCTCTCGAATTTGCTGTTGCTTAAATAATTCAAGATGGCGGTGGTAATTAGGTAATTAAGCTTATCAAATTATTAAGTGTGTTTAAAAGGAGATTCGTTACTCAACAAAGAAACAGTGGCGGAACCAAGCGGTGTCCAAAATTGCACCCGACAACCGACTCTAGCCATCTCTGACGTCAAAAATGTTACGCCATCACCAATATTGAACGTGTTATGATGTAATGTCCTTTAGTGACTAAYAGTCTACCAGGTTTGCGCGCTTTCTCGTTGTCATACATTCAATAGCTTGCTATTTGAATAATTTTATATCATAACAAAGGTATCATTTGAGAAATTAGCTACATTCACTTCTGAAAAATTCCTAGATACGCTTCTTAGAACACCAATCTGCGCTTAGCTATGAAGTAATGGTAAGTTCGGACATGACATTCTACAATAAACGATAGCATAGTGATCTCGCCTTTTCCAACCAAGAGCCACAAAATCAACCATTAAATAATATCAAATAGAGCAAAATCGGCAATCTCATTCCCAGTCCCTTATCCCTTAAACGTATTGATAAGGGTCTGGGGACGAGGGTACAAAATTTGTTACCTTAGAGGGCCCCCACTTTGCCTGGCATGCCTTGACTGCAGCTAGTAATGATATAGTYAAGAGTATAGCTGACAGAAGGACGATTGTGCCCAGTAGTACAACAGTGTCTGAATTCTTGCAAGTGCCTAAAAACATGAATCATTGTAAATTTATAACAGGGAGCACAGGCTCTTTATCAGTGGCTCTTATGTAACCACCCGTCCCGTCCCCTCCCCCTCTCCTTTACGATTTTGTAGGATGTTATTGGCGTGAATTTCTTACTTGAATTGCAACGAAAAGACACAAAACTCTCACATCCTGTTATCGATGTATGCAACAATCCACTGGAGAAGATTCAGACGATTTGATTGAGTTTATATAACTTTCTCCCCACCAAGGAATAGGAGGAGAAGTGGTTACAAAAGAACCATTGATAAAGAGCCTGTGCTTCCTGGGAGCTTATCATGGTAACAGATTTATTCTCAAGTACTGGGCCCAGAAACCTTTGCGATCGTTTGTATTTATTGAATGAGGGAGACTCGCGGGCTATGTACAAAGCTATATAACTGAATGCTGAAATTAAGGGAAGTACGGCAGAATTAGTTCTTTGTTTATCCCCCCCCCCCCCCCCGAAATTGTTCGATAAACGCACGCCATAAMGGTGTCCGTAGTGCAGAGGTTTGAGTGATACAGTAGTGTCCGTAAAATCGAGGTGTTCGTTACTCAAAACCGTGCGTAAAACAGAGAGGTGTCCGTAATACAAAMGTGGGCGTAATATAGAGGTSTCCGAAATACAGMAGTATCCTAATATAGAAGTTTGTGTAATACATAGGTCTCCGTGATACAATGATATTCGTATTTCACAGATATCGATCGTCCGTATTCCAGAGGTTACTTACTGTCTTCACCACAACCAGCACGTATGTTGTTGACCCGTAAACCATATCCCACTGACACCAAACCTGATAAACCGGTTGAAACCAGTGTGGTYATCAAGTACAAGGTCACCTGAAATGTAGAYMATAGTCCTTCATTCCTCAAACAGAGAAACAAATGACGCTTGCTTATATTATTGCGCTGATAATGATTAGAACATACGTATTATAGCTATATTTGGGTGTTTTTGGTTATCCTAAGAACTTTATACAGAACTTTAATGAATTTTTTTTCTAATTATAATCGACACCCTTGCTAGAAACTGCTTTACATAATATACTTACAAGGGAAGTCTTGGTTGTAATACCAGCAAGAACGCCTACCAAACCGGTAGTGGTTATCTAAACAATGACAGATCACATATATCATTAAGTGCAGAACCATAAACCCGTGAAACAGCATGTCAATAGTCAAAGTGCATAACTTGTTGTGTTTACATAAAAAAGACTAGAGAAAAAAAGGCAAAATATAGAGCAAAATA